AAAAAAAAATACTATTCCCTCCATTATAAATCCAAATAATGGGGGCCAAACGGGGGCTATATCTTCTTATTAACAATACATTTTGAAATCTTTGTCAACTAATTTCTTACGTTTGAATTTCGTAAAGTACGTTGACAACTTACATGAAAGTTTTTATAAATGAAGATTCAAGTGGATGAATATTGTGAAATTTATTTATCTATTAAAAATTCTTTAAATTGTTTTGTTTCAGAATGTCGATAGTCTCGAATTACTGTTATCAAGAAAATTGCATCACATTTGTATTTTTGCAGAAGTTCTAATCCTTTATGAAATATATTTTCAAAATTTAGTTAAAATTATTTCATCAAGTTTGAAAGGTTTTGAAGTCTAAGGTTTTTTAGTCTAATTAGTTAAAATTATTTCATCAAGTTTGAAAGGTGTTGAAGTCTAAGGTCTTAAAGTCTAATTTAATTTCACCACCTACATGCAAGAAAAAGCTTAGTAAATGCAAGGGAAGAAGTCATGAAATTTAACAGAGTCAATAAGGGGCAATTTAGGCAATTAACAATTTTTTAATGGAAAAAGACCTTGAAATGATTTATGGGGAATCTGTTGCCCCAAACAAACCTCATGGAGTGTCTCTTGTAGTTTTTAAAACTAGGTGTTTGTATTTGTGACTTACTCCAAGAGAGATCTTTGGTACGTGTAATTTGTTGGGTTAAATATTTCAATTGCCATTGAACTTTTCCATTTGTTTTCCAATTGCCATTGAACTAAAAAATTTCTGAGTTGCCGCTGAACTTTTCCAAATGTTTTCTAGTTGCCATTGAACTTTTTAAAAGTTAGGCCAATGCCCTGAGTACCGGGCAATTATCATACAGGAGTTTTACAGACCCCTCACTGTAGATGGCAGGTCGGTCCCATCGATCTGCATAAAAAAATAAAAAATAAAAATTGCGGGCCCCACCCTTTGTGTGTGTTCTGGCATAGGCCTGTGATCCTGCCTGTACGTGATTCACGGCTCTAAAAGTTATTCGAGTTTTCATAGAACTTACCAAAATGTTATTCCATCCATGACTTCATTGCTTGTAATTTTGAAAGTTACGGACTAGATGACATGGTACATAGAATGACAGATGAAATAAAATTTTTGGTAAGTTCAATAATTTTTAAAACAAGGACTGATTGATGTGATAACATTTTATTAAGTTTTAGTGGTAACTTGGAGAACTTAGAAAGTTCAATGACAACTGAGAAACATTTGGGGAAGTGGAAAGAAATTTTATAGTTCAGTGGTAATTAAGAAACTTTCAGAAAAGTTCTGCGGCGGTCGAGATATTTAACCTAATTTGTTTAGAAAGATGAACTAAGTTACCATGTAGCAAAATTGTTGGTATCATTGATTGTGGAGGAGAAACTTCTCTCATTTTTGCTTATGTTCCATAATGTCTGGTTTCTAATTGGTTCTGATATGGATGCGACTACTGCAGGAAGTAGGATCTTCCGTCATTGAACTGGACTGGTTCGTTTTGCATTCCCTTGTGATACCTCAAGTTCAGTGCTATGCATAATGGCTGCTCATTCAGGAAGCTCTCGCGAATCTTCTCCTGCTTTTTACCATTTATGTTTCTCGTTTTCACTTTTTGAACAAGTAATGTACTGAGAAAAATTGAATTGGATTAACTTAAATGGTAGAAATGAATTCGAATCCAAACAATGCTTAAAAATGAGATTGAAGAGATTTTCTATATTTTAACATTTTAAACTAGAGAGAGTTTGACTCTTCAAACTTAGAAAAGCAAACGCGTTATCTATTCTTAATAATTGCGTTTAATAAATCACATATTTTAGTACTCTATTTTTAAGTTATTCAAATCACAATTAAATTGATTGGCTAATTGATGTGTACAAAATTATATTAAATAAAATATAAAGAAAAATCAATAAATGTCTCTTGAGAAAAGTAAAATAAAGAATCAAATTAGAGAGTTTGTTAGAGTGTATAAAAATTGACTTTTTAANAATCAATAAATGTCTCTTGAGAAAAGTAAAATAAAGAATCAAATTAGAGAGTTTGTTAGAGTGTATAAAAATTGACTTTTTAAGTATAAAGATACTCTCTATAATAAATAAAATACTCTTAAAATGGTCGATTGATTTGTTGAGGGTCCTATAAAATAATTAGATTTGATGGTAATTAGTATGTCATGAAACCGGTGCTTTGTATAAGCTTAATTCACACACACACACCCCCATTAAAGTTTAACTTTTGCTTTGATATTGCTCAAGTTTCTTTTACCTCACATAAATGATGTCTTAAGATGTGAGTTCATCTTCCATTAGCGGTTTCATTCAAGATCTTAATCCAAACCTCAATCCTAACCGTCTAATTAAAATCCATCTGAGAAAATAATTTTTTTGGGAGAAGTTGAATTTAGTAATATGTTTAAAATTATTTTAAGTGAAACTCGTTTTCACCATTTGAAAATTTTTGGACTTTGATCGTAGTTATTTATTTTATATATTATTTCTTTATTTTCTTTGTTTATTTGAAGAGTAGGGTGGATTAATTATTTTACAATGCTTTAATGAAAAAAAATAGACGAGGGGGACCTTTTGCACAACAAAAGTAAACGATTCGGACTTTTGCACCAATTGCTCATATTTGACGAAAGTAATTGACGAAATGAAAGGACCAACTTCGTCAGTAAAATGTTGAAATGAATGTGTAAATACAAAATTTGAAACGATGTGGATGATTTATGTAGTGAGTGTGAATGATGGAAACATTTTGTTCTAATTACCCTAAAAAATTTTTGAAAATAAAAATAAAAATAAAACTAATCTTCTTCACCCACTCTTATCTACCTAATTACCACAATATGCCCACCGCTACCTTAATCAAGGGGGATTTCTCCCAATTGTCTGCTAGCTAACAAGGGAGCGATCCCCCTTATTTCGCATTAATAAAGGGGGAAAATCACTCTGAAAGATGCTAGAGCTAATGGTTGTTCGCCAAACAACAAGAAAGAAGAGGATAAGTTGGGAGACGAGAAAGAGGGGCAAGATTGAAGATATACTCTTGTAGTCGGACACATTCAGCTTTCACAGTTCATAAAAGAGTTAAGGAGGACTGCATTTGCTCGGGAGTTTATGGTTGT